TTCAATTCTTTTTCTGGTCTAGCACCTACACAGTATGGTTCTAGTAGGTCAAGCCGGACTGGGGGAAAGCGAAGGCGTCTAGTTGAGGAGGTACGCACGTGTTAAACTGTTTTTCTGTTACCAGACCCCGCTCTGTCCCCTTATGATAACTCTATGAAGGAGGTAAACCATGAAGGTCAAGAAGGAATGTAGAGAAATTATATCCTTGATGTGCACTATATTGTCCTTTGAACTAAGGTCTAGGTTGACCATTAATCATCATTGAGAAGGAAATAAGTAAGAGAAGACATGCTTAGTTACCTTCTCTATTAGTCGCCAAGGCCTATATCAAGAGCTTTGCCCAAGAAATCTTAGTTAACTTTGATCCTAGACACATGCATATACATATTTATCTTTTTTTTTTTGAAATAAAAAATGGGAAGTGTATATTAACAAGGTACCAAAAATGGGGTACCACCCATGTACAAAATATTTACAAGTGTGTTAGAGTGTCAATGACATTCTTAAAATCCTCATCTCTAATAAGGTAATGACCCAACAAAATGAACCCAAAATAACATATACATATTTATCTTTCATTTATCTACATGCAAGATTGTATTGACTTACATATGGATGCACATCTTAGGCCGTATGAACCATCAAGAAATTATTGATATGATGTCAACTTTAACATAGTCTGTTACGCTGATGTCAGGAATTATTTGATAGATTTTTATAAGATGCATAATACTTGCCTAAAGGTTGGTGTCTGGCTTTCTGCAGCTTGTGGAAAAGCTTCTCATTGCGGCTGTTGCAGATGCTGATGTTACTGTCCGTCATTCTATCTTTTCCTCATTGCACGGGAATAGAGGATTTGATGATTTTCTAGCTCAGGCTGATAGTTTGAGTGCTATTTTTGCTGCTCTAAATGATGAGGTAGGATCTAATATGGCTGTTAGGTCACCTCACACTTGGACATGTCACATTGCACTTCCAATTTTATAATAACAAAAATGATGTGTCCATTTATTTAATTTTCTATTTTCTGGAAATGATCTAATATGGCTGTTATGTTATATCCTTGTTATATAGCCTCCTATTAAAACGGGTCAATGGGCTTTAACCATACAAAATTCGACTAGACAATTTAAGCCGCACAAACTTCAATTCAAGGGAATGCTTGATGGGCATGTTCGCAATTAAGTGACTCTATCTGCTAAGGAAAATAATGATCTTACCCCTAAGGAAAATAAAGCCCCTTTCCAACCCTTCAAATGTTTCAAAATCTTCTCTACAACAGGACCCCAAAAAGAAGAGATATGAGGATTAACCAAGCAGCATCGCTAAATTAATGACAAGCCAGTTACAGATATTTTGTCCTATAAGCTATAGACTTTATAAGTTTTTCAAGAATGTATCAGTTTATAGCATTGTTTTATTAAAAAAAGTTTTTGAGGTGTTTAAGTAATATGAACTTATAAGCTGCATAGTTTATTTATCTGTTTAATAAATATATAATTTGTAACTCTTTGTTCAGTCAAAATGAAAGGATGATAATTTCATTATTATTAATGGATATAGTTATCTGAAAATAGATGTTTTTGGGGGTCAAATTCAATACCTACATTTTTTAGAGAAACAAAAGTATTTAGCAAGCTTAAATAATTATTATTTTTATTTCCATTCTTATTCTTATTCTTACTTTATTTTATTTTGGGTTTGCTTTATGCAAGAATTCATTATCAGTCAAATGAAATTCCATGAGCACTGCTCCGTAGATTAACATCTTAGTGCAAGGAGATTAAAAGAAAAGCCAGATTCTGTATATTTGCAAGAAGGGTCGGGGTTATAGTTTAGTCGTTTTGCATATTTTCCTTCTTATCAAATTGCTAGATATCAGAATCGATTACATAGTTGGTTTTCTGGTATCATCTGAGGTGCTTTATTTTTCTTGATTTTATGCAAGAAAAGATCATGACAAGCTACAGCTGAGCTCGAAGAGCTTGTTCACAGATATCATAGCCGAGGGAATCTTCATACTTATAAATGTTTTTCATATGGTGAGCAAGTTGGTGAGTTGGTTTTTTTTACCAGCTAGATCACCAAGAAGCTATTTTCAAGATGTGTATTAGGAGTGGAAATCACAAGGTGTTGAGAGAGGTCGTAAAAGAGTTTAGGGTGCATGAATGTACGTCCCCTTTGCTGCCGGCCCATTTTGAGCTCTACCCATGCACGTTTGTAGTATACCCCGACATAAATCTTGCCTCTGTTACTATGAACAGACAAACCTAGTTCCACATTTTATGTTTTTAAAGAAGTCTTTCATGACTTTAGGTTGTGAGTATCACTACCTTTTTTTCTTCCACTTTTTTAGAGGGTGGGGTTGGAGAAGTTACACTGATTACTAGAATATTTATCTGCTAATTTAGATGTTGTGTGCATACATTTTTGAAGAAATTCCATACCTTGTGGATCTAGCTGTGGTAGATATATGAAGTTTCTATTCCTGACTGTCAGCTAAGAAGAACACTTTCAAATTTCATTCTCCTTTTACGGAATGTTACATTAGAGCTTGAGACATTTGTAAACTTTTGGCAAGAATATGCTCTTTGTTCCAGTCTCTGTGTTCTTCATGGTAAACTGTGAGATCACTCCAAATTTATTTGTTGTAACAGGATTTAGATGTCCGAGAATATGCTATCTCAGTTGCTGGGAGACTGTCAGAAAAAAATCCTGCCTATGTGCTTCCAGCACTTCGTCGCCATCTCATACAGTTGCTAACATATCTGGAGCAGAGGTGATGTGAAAGGGTTATACTGTTAATTACCAGTGTCTTACAGTCATTTTTTATATGTTGTTTTTATTAAAGTGTCACATGCTTTGAAGTGTCAGATATTGACTTCTGTTACCATGTAAGCAGTGCAGATAACAAATGTAAAGAAGAGAGTGCAAAGTTACTTGGTTGTTTGATTCGTAATTGTGAACGATTAATACTCCCATACGTTGCACCAATACATAAGGTTTCAATTATACTGTGGACTTTATATTATTAAACCATTTTCAAATGCTGTTTACTCTCTTATGGGGTGAATTTTCTGATTTTTCAGGCACTCGTGGCTAGACTTCGTGAGGGTACTGGAGTTAATGCCAACAATGGCATCATCACTGGAGTTCTTGTAACCGTTGGAGACCTTGCCAGAGTGGTGGGTGAATTTTCCATATTAGGTTGATTGTCTAGGACATCCTACTTTGATCTTTGCTATAAATTTTGCAACTTGTGAAGGAAATATATGCATGTCTATGTGGCGTACACTTGTTTGATTGTGAATGATACATGTTATTTTTGACAGATGCATTAATCTTTTCCTGTGAATTGAGGTTTCTACAAATTTTCTGCTTTTTGAGTGGGAGAAAGGTTCTGTAGCCTTTTAGATGAAGCTTATTAACATATTGGAGTTCTTCTCTCTCTCTCTCTCTCAAAAAAAAAAAAGCAACACGAGAAACAGAATGTTTCTATTTTAATTTTTCTGGGTTATTACTTCTGTTTAGGGAGGGTTTGCAATGAGGCAGTACATTTCCGAACTCATGCCTTTAATAGTTGAAGCTTTGTTGGATGGAGCAGCTGTTACGAAACGTGAAGTTGCCGTTGCACACTTGGTCAAGTAATTTCAGAGCACTGGGGTATGTGATGGATTTCTCATGTC